ACGGCGAAGCGACTTATACGGCGAAGCGACTTATACGGCGAAGCGACGTGTACGGCGGAAAATATGGTAATGTGGTTCAGCTACTTCAAGATTTCCTGGTTTCTTTTTTGTGTTCTTTATCATAACATTTTTTATTTTCTTAATTCATCGTGACTGTTTGAGATGCTTTATCTCGGGGCGACAGTTTCTCGTCCTGACTTTATGCTGATGCAGTTAATTACCTCCAGTCCCACACAAGTGGTTCCGGGGAACTGATGGAGCCTCTTAATCAAACACACATCTGCGGAATATGACAGTGATATCCACATTAAAGCATGTGTCATCCTCTGGAGGTAATTGGCAACATGTGCCATGAGCTGAGCTGCCCTCAGGCTGAGTCCACGCAGGGCAGTGAGGATGTGACAGATGGGACGGGCAAACAGGCGTATACGGTCCGGATGATGGCGACCTCCATCCACAAATAAGGAGCTGGCTTGTCTTGGTAAAGTAAAGTCATTAAAACCTGCGTCATGTTTCCGTCTTCACACAGGCTTTGAACAGACGGTGAAATGTGCTCATGAGCGCTCCGTGCACCTTTTCATCGACTCTCTGCTGAACAAAGACAAGCAGAGCACGGCCTACACGTGCAGCGACAACAAGGCCTTCGTCAGAGGGGTCTGCTTGGACTGCAGGAGGAACCGCTGCAACACACTGGGCTACAACATCAAGAAGGTCCGCACAGCCAGAAGCAAGCGGCTCTACCTGAACACTCGATCCCGCATGCCTTTCAAACGTACGTACCCGTGAGCTGAACCCGCCTGAAAACTTTTATAAAACATTTTTTGTCTTCATCACCAGAAATGCTGCATGTTGTTAAACACATGACATAATTAACTAAATGTATTTTGTGTTCGAGTCCAATGTAAGTAAAAAAAGAATAAAAAACTGAATATTTACAGAAATAAAATCAGAACAAATTAAAAATGTGTATGAGTTACAGATGTGAGTACGTCTAAAAATAAGAGTTAGGTATAAATATAAAGCTTTACGCTTTCATTCAAGTCTACATTTAATCTATTTTTATCCAAACGGAGACAGAATAAGTTTAAAGTCTCAGTTATGATATTTATTTTTCTTGTTTTCTCAATAATTAGTGCAGAGTTTTAAAATAAGTAAGAAAGTATAAGTGAAATAATCCGACATCTTTTCTACCAGTTTGGGCTCAAGTGAGATATTCAGTTAGTAACGATGTACTGGTTTCTTTTTTTTTGCTTGCATCAAGATTTTAAAAGATTTTTGTGTTTACTTTGAAAATGTCTAAACTAAAAGCGTCTATTTTTAATTCATTACATTATGAGACAAAGTTGTGCATTCTACACAAATCATCGCTGTAACTTTTATCAATTAAAGTAAATAATGAAATTACTAAACTAATTAAGTGACTTAAGAACTGATGCCTCCTGAAAGAACTTAATAGATTAAATCAGTTCAGTCTCGCCGCTAAATCCATAATCAATCAGTTATAATTATCCACAATATTAACTTATAACAAAAAACAGTGCAAAATTACTAAAACATATCATTTATTTTGTTTACACTGAAAGTACATTGTTTTCTTGTCATTTTTAAAAAAAATCTATGAATTCAGTCCCTTAATCATTTCATTTATATATATATATATACATACATATACACACACACAGTATTGTATATGTATTATATAATATTGATAATTACATATCAGATGGATAAATGGGGAGTGGTGGCACAGAGGTTAGAGAAGGTGATTGGGAGGTCGCCGGTTCAACTCCCTGGACTGATGACCTCAAAATGTGGGTGGGAAAGGTGAAACACCTGCACCTGCCTTCACCCTCATTTGCCCCACTCTGCGCCCTTGAGCAAGGCCTTTAACCCCCACCATCTGCTCCCAAAAAAACAGGTCTCTCTTGAAAATGAGTCCTCATGACTCAGTGAGACTACCTGGATAATTAAAAGTTAAATAAATAAATGTGCAGACAAACATAAGTATCCTCTGATCTGTACTCATTTAGTCTCTGGTTGCTTCTTGCTCCTGATTTTCCAGTCTACCATTACCAGTTCAGGATCCAGTTCATCAATCAGACGGAGCGAGTTGAGCCCACTCTCACCGTCTCCCTCACAGGAACGAAAGAGGAGAGTGGAGACCTCACCATCACCATGTGAGTACCATATCAACACCCACCCAATGCTCTGCTGCATGAAAGAAAACGATAAATGCCCGTGATGGAATAAATGATTGAAATACGACTGTTTTCTGACAAGTTAGTCATCTTTATGCGTCGAGCAGCAAACCAGAACCAACAGCATGTGATGTCGTCATGACAACAGACTGAGATTTAAAAGAAAGCTGTGGACACTTGCAGAACCCCCCATTTTTGTCTCTCACTCCCTGAACTCTCCCCCAGTGATGAAGGCATTTCTGGAAACACGACCTTCACCTTCCTGATCACGCTGGACAGAGACCTGGGGGAGCTGATGCTGCTCACGTTAAGCTGGGAGGGGTCGGACTTGTGGAAGAGCGTGTGGAACCGGGTGCAGACCATGTTTCCTTGGGGTGGCCAGGAAAAGAAACCACAGCTGACTTTGGGAAAAATCAGCGTGAAAGCAGGAGAGACGCAGCAGAGGTACAGCTGAAACAATGCACGTCAATAAACGTTGGAACCAGCAACAGTCCTAACAATCAACACTTCTGAATTATTCTGATCAGTTATTTAAGTGAAAATAGAAAACAGCCTACCAAGAAAATATTGATAATAAAGATGCATTTTATTTTTCTGAACAGAACTTTGTCGTTCGATAGGAAGGAGAGAAAATTAACTTCAGGTTGTCGGGGCTTTTTATCTGAACGTTTTCAGAGGACAACCTTCTGTTAGCACCTGGAGGTTTTTCTTCTCCACCTCTGAACTCGTTTGTTCTTTTGTTGACCCCTGAAACCCTAATTATTGATTATGGTGTTTTCTGAATTATGGTTATGTTTTCAAGGCCTGAAATCTGAGTTCAGCCCGTTGGGAGTCCTGACAAAGGTGCACGAGACTTTGGACGTTGAACCACAGCATCCATGATCAGCAGGAATCTAAAAAAACTTCGTGTTGAACTACAGAAGCAAAGAAAAGTACCGTAATTTCCGGACTACTGAGCGCACCCCAATATAAGCCGCGCACACTAAATAAAAACATAATACAAATTTGTACATGTATAAGCCGCGCCTGCGTACAAGCCGCATGAGTAACATGTAACGAGATATTTACAAAGAAAGATTTTTTTAAAACTTTTAATTAAATACATACCGATAACAAGTAAAAAGTTGTCGTAAGTAAAAGTTTTTTTCTGAACAGTGCCTGGAACATGGCTGGTTAAAAAAATAAAATAAATTAGCATACACAGAAGTCATTGATCACCATCTTCACATTCCTCCTGCTCAGGATCCACCAGCAGACTTGAACAAAAGTTGCTCTGTGCCAGTGTTGCCAGGTGAGAAATGTAGGATTATCGTACAAGAGACATAAAATTATCGTACAAATACGATAATTATCGTACACCTAACAACACTGCTCTGTGCATGCAGGGAATCCCCCCTCCCCATTCTCTCCTCCCCGCCACGTTTCATTGGTCCACTGTGACCTGTTCAGTAATTTAATTTGTCTGATTTATTTATTTGTTTATTTATACAGGTAGTCTCATTGAGTCACAAGGACCCACCCACCACAGAGACATATATTGGGCAGCTATGCGAGTGCCTGAGTGTGATGAGGCTAAATGTTTTGGTGGCATAAAGCTCATCAGCCCTGCAAAAAAAAAAAAGTCCATAAATTAGCCGCAGCGTTGTATAAGCTGCAGGGTTCAAAGAGTGTGAAAAAAGTAGCGGCTTATAGTCCGGAAATTACGTTATTTTCAAACTTTTACAAATCGACTCGGACTCATTTTCTCTGGGATGCTCTTTTAATGCTCAGTCATATTTCTGAGCTGTTGCCCACAATGAATGTGAAAGGTTGTCTTTTTTTTTAAATATATATTGTATTTACTTGTTACTACAAATATTTTTAATGATGCAGGTTTTTGGGTTATATATTACTGATGATGTGCTACACCGTGCTGACGCAAACTGTTTAAAAACATGTACATGAGTTTGGTTTAACGCAGGAGCTCACATTAGCAGCTTTAGTATTACAAGTTTATTCCTCGAGTCCCCTTTAGAAAACAATGTGGCCATGTAGGATTTTAATAAACCTGTCAGGATTTTGGAGGGTTTCTGCCATTTCTGACAGCAGAGAAACACTTTCTGCAGCTGCATGGCAGGATTTAAACGCCATCTACTGGAGTGCTTCTCCACGCGCAGGACTTCTGCTGCTTCATCCAACAGATGACCACACCAGCTAAATAACAGTCTCTGTCTCTCTCTTTTTTTAAGGACATCTTTTTGTGCCATGAACAATGAACAACAAGTGGAAATCGCTCAAGATAAAGAGTTTGTTCGCTGCAAAGACGAGGAGTCGAAACGACGCAAACGAAAGCACCGTGTCCCCGAGTCTGTTCAGCAGACTGGTTGATCTGTGACAATAGTCACAGCTAGACGACACTTTCCCTCCTTGTTATGAAGTGGTGCACGTGGAGGGTTATTAAGAAGTGGTAACTGACTGCAGCAAGCACTGAGGACGACTTAAAGCTAAGTTAAACAAAAAAAATCACCTAATAAAGCCGTTTATTAAAAAACAGATGTATTGCATTTTGTGAGAATTATTTTTCTTTTTCTGCAGGAATTTAAACGTCAAACATTGAACACAAAAAAACTAATTCAGATGTTTTTTTGTTTTTTTTTTTACTCTGGTGTTCATTTCTAAAACAAGAAAAAGTTAAAACAGAACCACATAAAGAGGTACTTGCTCATACATACAACCCAGAGCAGTTACTTTTTTAAAATTCAGTCTTGTGTGTTTTTCCTTCATATGAGATTTATATTTATTATTATTAGACCTTTATTTATACAGTTTAGTTCCCATTGAGCCTCGAAGTCTCATTTACAAGAGACCTGTTACAGACAACATACAGGCAGATGAGAAGAACATGAGGATGGACGAAGCAAAAAAAAAAAGAAAAAAAAAAAGAAAATCACGACTCACACCATTTCCTGGCCGAAAAACAACGTAAAAGATGCAACAAAAAAACCTTCACAACATAAAACGGCAACATACAATGACATCATACATTTGTGCATAGAGGTCAAAGCCAGTGAGTTGTCCATAAACACTCCAGAAAGTTCCAAAGTTCTGATAAGATGGTACAGAGTCTATCAGCATCATGGTTTTGATAAGGTCACAGACATCCTCGGGGGGGGGCAGGCAGAGCTTCTAGTTAAGCCCCCAGTATACTCCCATGTACGTCCGTACGCAGTTACGCGCGTACGTCCGCAGGGCATGTCCACGCAAAGCCCAGTTTTTACGACCGCGTACGCGATGTCGCACAATAAACTGCCCGGCGACGCACTGTTTTGTACGAGACACCGATGTATTAAATTCCCCTTCTTCATCCCTGATCTGGCCTTTTGTTTTTTTGCCAAGAGGCAAGTGATCTCTCTTCGTCCTCCGTTGATGCCATGACTGAAATGGTGAGAAATGAAGGAATTTGTCATGAGCGAATTAAAATCAGTCCCAGCGTGGCTGTGGGAGGGTCTGGAGACTTCCTGTTGGGCTGGTCTGATGTGTGGGCTGCAGGACCAGCGCTCCCTGTTTTTTAATTTTTTTTTTAGAACTTTTTATTAGCAACATATAAAACACAGAACACCGCTGCAGCTGGGGCTGCCGGCTCCATTTTTTTTTTTTTTTGACATGTCAATCAATCCAGTAGGCGTGTCATCAAATGACCAATCAGCGCCCTCAATTTGTCCCGAAGGTAAATGCCACTTGTCTGCGAAGCTGCTCTGCAGCCGCTCAGGGTGTACGCCCGAGTATGACGTCTCAACACTCTGCGTATGTACGTGCATACCTCCGCGTGGACGGACGCGGGAGTATACTGGGGGCTTTACATATCCTCCAGGAGCAATTTGAGATAAGTTGGCCTGACCAAGGCCAAATTCAGATAAACAACAACTGTTTTGGCCGCCAGACTCTGTTTTCTGTCTGACTTCAAGTTCTGCTGGAACGTTCAGTGGTGAATCCAAACAGACAGATTTGTGGACATTCCACCCGGTCCCTGCTCGATTTAGCGTTCTCCAAGATTGAAACCTTCATGCTGACCAGTTCCAGGAGCCGCAAGCGGTCTACGATTCTCAGTGATGGCGTCCAGCTTGCGGTTGAGCTCGATAAGCGTGAGTCTGAGAGATCGAGGTACCGATTAATCCTTCACATAAGGCTGGCAGCTTTACCACGGCCAAAACTGCTGCTGAAGTCTTCCTAATTCGTCGATATCCAAGGTATCCACCAATTCCAAAAAGCAGAAACCCTGTTATCATAAATCCAATAATGTACGCATCTTCTACGTCCTCCACAGACAGCACAGATACACACACCATCTTCCAGTCACCCCAGGGATCAATGACATACCCAGCTGCGTGGGTCCATTCAGGGCATGAGGGCTCTCCAGCTCCATCGTCTGGTGGAATTTTTTTATCAACTGCGTTGAGGGACCAGCTGACCAAATCCATAATTTTCTATTTGGAAGATGTGTAAAGAGAGGCTCTGATGTTGACGGGACAAGAGAGCAAAAAAGCAGGAGGGAAGGAGAGAGGGTGAGAGCGACCGTCTTCGTCGAGAGCGAAAGAGAGAAGACTTATGACCTCACAATGATTGAAGCTCAAAGAGAAATAAACAGGTTCGTTTGAGATTCATAGTTTCAGCAGTAAATACAAAAAAAAAAATTTAATAAATTGTGACTTAAAATGCCACAGACTGTTAAAACTGAAAATAAAAAAGGTTTAAACACTCAACGGGGAAACGGCAGTTCTCCAGAGCTGCAACAACTTTACAAACACATGAAAATTTATTTATTTATAATTATAAAACAATACAGTACTAGAATTATTGGTCCCAGTTTTATTGCATTAAAGTACAAAAACCCAGCCAACTGTCATCAGTTCTGTTGAATTATTTTTATTTATGCATTTCAAATAGAAATCTTTGCAAACTGTTAAAACTTTAAAGCAGGATGAGAAACTGAGCCAAAAAAAAAAAAAAGTAAATAATTGAAAAAATACAAATAAAAAAAAAACACAAAACTGAAAACATAAAAACAGCAGAGGCAAAAAAAATAATAATAATCTGACAGTAGTTGCACATTTTTATCATTTTGGATTCTTATTCCTCACAATGTCAGTGCACATTTTCTCAAACGTCACATGCAACACGTGAAAGAAATTTCCCCGAGTATCAACCAGCTTACCCACACCATGACACAACTAAACAGTTTGCACACACCTGTATAAAATATGGAAAGTATAGGAGTGGTTAAAAATAGCACCAAATCACAAAAAAAATTATCTGCAAGACCAAAAATTCAGTTTTGTTTGCTTAAACTGTTTCAGCACACAAAGTTAATTTGTTAAGGAAACGCACCGTCATGCTCCGTGTGCCCGGTCGTTGAATATTTAAAGGCATTTCTCTGTGAAACGGCATGCTGAGTCTGCGCAGATCCAAACACCGTGCAGAAAAACATTTAGCTGCATCAGCGGTCCACACAGCTCACTGCTTTAACAGATTTAAGGTTTTAAAGGTATGCGTCGAGATATTTCACCAGAAACTCACGTGACAGTTCTGTGATGTCACGTCAGTGAATCTGGATTTAATTCAACACGAACGAGGATCGCTCAAGTTGGGCTGCGATGTAAATGATAGCTTTAAGTAAATCAGAAAAGACTGGAAAGACTGAATGTTTTTAGAATAGTAAATAAGAAATTTGTTGACTGATCCATCCATCCATCTTTATCCACTTCTTCCTTTCTGGATCACGGGACTCATTGTTGTCCATATCCAGCAGCCACTGTGTGAGAGGTCTCCAGTCCATCGCAGGGACACTTGGACAGGTCTCCAGTCCATCGCAGGGACAAACAGAGACACATGAGACAAACAACCATTCACTCTCTCACTCACACCTAGGGACAATGTAGAGTCACCAGTCAGTCTAACATGCATGTTTTTGGTCTGTGGGAGGAAACCGGAGTACCCGGTGAAAACCCACGCAGCACGGAGAGAACATGCAAACTCCACCCAGAAAGGCGCCCAGCTGGGATTTGATCCGGCAACCTGCTCGCTGAGAGGCGGCAGCTCTACCAACTGCGCCACCGTGCCGTCCTAATAAAAACATGTAGGGTAAAAATAACACATTTCCGACACAAGATCTTTGCCTTTCCCAACATATTTCCAGTCTTTTCATGTCAACAGTCCATAAAGGTGCTTCTTCAATAAATGCAGTCCCGTGCGCCGTTATCTGTTGTACATCGACACTAAAAGCTAACGTTACTTCTCTCTGTAGGCACATTTTAATCCAATAACACGCAGAAATAAGCGTAACGAGGATCGTAATGCTTCCTCAACGAAATAAACAAGTAAACGGTCAATAAAAGAGCAGCAGCAGATAACATGTTGATTGTTCTCTATGATAAAACGTCTGTCAAAAGCAGCAGTAAAGCAACATTTAAATTAAAATCTCTATTTTTCTCCTCTTCTCAAAGTGGTTCAGTTTCCCCACGTATACAAAAATTATCTCAACTACAACATAACTCAATTAAATCCAAGGCAAAAAAACTCACATTCAAACCAGACAACCTTTCGGTTGCAACAGAAGCAGGAAGCAGTCCTTTTGTCAAGTGGCTTCGTTTGGCTTTACCTTTAACAGCAACTTAACCGAGAAACAAGAAATGAAGAACAGATCAGAAGCAGAGACAAAAATGATTAAAGAGGATGACTAAACAGTGGCACTAAAGGGTTTCTATACAAACAGTTGGATTCCAATATAATATATAATATCAGCTGGAATTTAAAAAGCTATTTTTCAACAACTATTTCAGTTCTGGACTGTATTTTTGTAAATTAAGTGCAAACCCATATATCAATATGCATACGTTAAACTCTCCTCTTTATCCTAACTGTTCATTGTACATGCTCGTTAAACTCCTGCACGTACAGTCTCTCCAACCAACAAGGCAGCTCACGTGAAGCTTTGCATACAGGATTCAGGCAGAAGAACGCCATCCTAATCATCTCCTTGGCCGTCTTTATATTCGTTTATAGATCCTGAGAAAGTCGTATATATTATTAAACACCATTCATCTTTTACAAATTCAATTTCCTTTGAGACGAAGACAAAAGATGCTGCAACATCTGTTCAATTAGAACGCGTCAGGGAATATTTGGTTTTAAAAACAATCGAGTTGCATAAAATGAAATGTCCTTCAGCCTCATGTTTTTAACTGGCGGCACTGGTTTCATTTGAAGCAATAAAAAAAGTTGCACAATGGAGGGGCACAAATAAACCTCTCGTCCCATCAATTTAATTTGAGATTCTAAAAATAAGGCATTCAACGAAAACGGTAATATTAAGACTGAATAAGAGTGTAGTGTATTTCTTTTCCTTCCTCTCTATTCAAAACTTATGCATTTCCTATAAAAGCTACGTGAACCGATTTTGATCTTTTAATCTGGCTCTCAGAACAAAGGGTGGTGGGTGTCTGTTAGCCCTCCTCATCACAAAAATAAGACAACTTTGGACATTGCCCATTAAAACATTTTCAATTTCAAGTTCATTGAAATTTGCACGGAGTTGTAAAGGTAACTCTTTGGAGTGAAGTGCTCCTGTTGTAGGCACTGAAGCAAGGCACAGAGCAGCGTCTACCTCTGGCGGCTCATCGGTTCCATTGAATATTGCTCGGGACGGCTGTAAGCTTGCTCCCTGGCTCGAGTGTTGGCCTGCTGAGGCTTTCTCCGTCTCAACGTATCTGTGCAATATGTACACATCAATGCATTAAAGACTTTAACAACACATGAGGCTATAAACACATGCATAACTGGATTATTTTAGCACATTTTAATGCAACTTTTGTTCTCTATTGCTATAAAATGTAGTTAGAGAGAACACGTGAGCTTCAAATGAAGTACAGAAATTTTACAGAAATGAAAACCAAACGTCACTGCACTGTTTGTTGTTTCTGTAGAACTTGCTGTTAGTATGACGAAGGCTCCTAAACCTACAGCGCCAACTCAAAGTACTCGCACCCTTGGATGTTTTATGTTTTTATGGTTATAAATTATTCATTGTCAATAAAAATGGGCTTTCCTTGCGTATAATTTAAGAAAATGCTTCAGTGTCAAAGTGTGATCAAATTTCTATAGATTAAAACCTCTTAAAGGGACGACATGCATTTTTATCCTCCTTCCTTTAAAGTTTTTGTCCTAATTCAACACAGAATTATTATTTTTTTTAAAGTACAAGTCAGGGGATTGATACAAAGGGATTTCCAAGGCCCTAATCATCCCCAGGAGTTCTTTAGAATTGGAAGGAACATGTGTAAATCTACGAGCAGTCCTCCCAAACTGAGTGACCGCGCAAAGAGAAGGAAAAGAACGGTGAGAGGCCACAAAGACACCGGTGAGCCCTCTGAAGAAGTTACAAGCTTCAGCGAGTGCAATGAGAGAGACTGTGCATACATTAACGGTTGCTCCGGTCCGTCATCAGTCTGAGTTTACAATAACTGTTGCTCCGGTCCGTCATCCGTCTGAGTTTACAACAACACTTCTGGTCCTTCATCAGTCTTAGTTTACAACAGCAGTTGCTCCGGTCCTTCATCAGTCTGAATTTACAACAGTTGCTCCAGTCCTTCATCAGTCTGAGTTTACAACAACTGTTGCTCAGGTCCGTCATCAGTCTGAGTTTACAACAGCAGTTGCTCCGGTCCTTCATCAGTCTGAGTTTACAACAACTGTTGCTCAGGTCCGTCATCAGTCTGAGTTTACAACAGCAGTTGCTCCAGTCCTTCATCAGTCTGAGTTTACAACAACTGTTGCTCAGGTCCGTCATCAGTCTGAGTTTACAACAGCAGTTGCTCCGGTCCATCATCAGTATGAATTTAAAGGAAAGTTGCCACTAGAAGCCAATACTGAAGAAAACTCATATTTTCCACTACATATTTATATGTAACTTGTATTCCTCTATAGATATTTAATTTCACTTTGACACTGCGGGTGACTTTGATTTTATTTATTTATTTGTAAAGGAAGAGTTTATATTGACCATGACAGATTTTGACAACAACAAAAGCACAAAACTCCCAAAGGATAAATATTTTTTATAGACACTAAAATATGCATAGACAAAATGAATGTGCATGCGGCATTAATTTTCAGATGACGATGATAAAAGAAGTCAAAACTTTCCTTTGCTGATGATAAAAAAAACAACAACATTTTGTACCTGGAAGTGACTTTGCTGGAGGAAGTTTGGGGTTGTTGGTGGGGGTGTGCACACTGCAAATCTTAATGAAGCCCGCCATTAACATGATAAGAGCGATGCCCATCAACAGCACTGCCCACCAGTGAGCCTGAGAAGCAAAATAAATATCTGAAATTATATTTAAATCAGGCAATAACCACGGAGAACATTGCATTTATGCTTCTTTGTGTCACCGAGTTGTTACATTGAGTCAATCTGCACAAGAATGCTCACCACAATCCAATCTGCGATATTCTCATAGAGCTCTGGATTGAAAATGGCCTTCTTTAACCTTGCCAAAGGCCCATCAGCATCCACAAGGCGACACCTCATGAAGACATCACAGTATCCCTTGAAGTCGTTGCAGGGCGAGCCAGGCTGCAGCGTTATTACCGTTCGATTAAACCGATGCGCCCATCTGTCTGAGGCCGTGCTGCTGCAGGTGCTGGGGTTCACTGGAAGACAGGAAGTGAGGTCTTCAAACAGAGCAGCAACTTCTGCATTTCACTAGGAACTACCCGGGTCTTTGGGGCAGGCATAAAACTGAGCTGTTGCTATTATTTAGAAGATTTTATAGTCAAGAGTCCTGTTTTACTGAATATATAAAAAAGGTAAATACAATAAGATGTATTCTTTTAAGATTTTCTTTTGTGGTTAGATATTTTTAGGAGTCTATCAAAGGGCTATTCAGCTAAATTGCTCGGGGGACCAGAGTTACTGAAAGCCAAGGGCTTAAGGGGCTGGACAGCCAGCAGTTATTGTCATTAAGGAAACTTGTTTTACGATTTAAAATCTAGTTTTATTTAAAAATGAACATACTGGTGGGCCGAATTGAGCACATCCGTGGGCCTGATTTGGCCCCCGGGCCACCAGTTGAATAGCCCTGGTCTATCAATTATTACGCACCTTATTGCACGATAAATATTTAGTTTATTAATTTGTAACTAGCACCAGAAAACAAGAGCGCGTTAGTTCTTCCGGTCTCTCCCCGCTGTATCTAGCAGCGTACGTTCCCTCGCGCTCTCTCTGGTCGGCAGAGCAGTTCCTGTTTTTTATCCAGAAATTAAAGAGCACTTCAAGAGGTGACCGAGCGTTTTCATGGAACCCCAAACTGTGGAACAAGCCGTCTTTTTTTTTAATTCTCTTTAGAGTTTTAACTCTATCTGAGATGTTGACTTTTATAGATTTTAATGATTGTTTTAACTGCTCATTATTTTTAAGATTTTTCATTCGATTTGATTGCTTTTAAATTCTTCTTGTTCTTTTGTGCGTATCTTTTTTTTAAAGTGCTCTTGAAATAAAGTTGTATCGTTTTAGCACCTCTTCCATCTATTTCAATACATATATAATTGACAACAGCTTTTTCTAATCCATTATCTGTGCAGCCTGTTGCTCACTTTTATCCATGCAGCACACGTGGCACAGCTCGGCAGCCTCATCCTTGCTGTCCTGGCTGGCGCAGGTGCAAACTTCCAGGTTGTACTTTGCACAAATGGAACCAGAGCAGACCTATTCAAAAAGGAAGGAGAAAATAATTTTTTAAAAAAATGTTGGAAAGCCTAACTAATTTACAAACTAATAAAACTTGTCACACATTTACATTAAACGTTTAGAGGGAAATAAATATGAGCACACCCCATTAATGCAAACTTGGGTTCCAGAATTGCAGGTGGTGTAGTTTTTCTTTGGTGTGGAGGTCGGACACAGAGCAGTGACTCCGTTGCACCATCCTTGCTCAGCACATTCCGACGCCGCTCTGCATTGGTCTGCGGTGACTTTGAATTCACAGTTAGGTTGGCAACATGGGCCTTGGCTGGGACTGCGTAAACAGAAAAACATTTATACCATTTTGTAATTGATAATGACATAAACTAGAGTACAAAACTAAATCTGACCTGCACTTTTTGCCAGGTCTGAGTTTGCACTTTTTGTCATCTGCTTCATTGGCGTTGTAGCAGCAGTCATCTTTACACTGATCAATGTAGCCACAGTCGCATTGCTCTCCCTCTTCTACAAGGCCATTACCACAGATAGGCTGTCCAGACTCTGTACACACGTGCACGAACACAATGCACAAGGTTAAAAACAGAATATTTTTCACTCTCACAAATGCACATACCGTACAAGAATGTTCTGAACATGAGAGGATTTACCAACAAAGCAGTCATCTCTCTTCTTTGTGAGGACAGCACTGATATTGCGAATGCTGCAGATGGAGAATTTGTTGTTGTTTGTTTTGTCCCCTGATGTGGCTCGAGCATACATGATGTAGTTTCCCTTCTCCTTTAGGTCCTGCTGCTTAGATTCTCCAGGTGTGCATTCAATCCCGGAGTCATGCTGTAAAATAGAAGGCAAAGAGAGTAAGTCTCTGTAGAACAAGTACATCTCTGCATGAGAAATTTTAAAAATGTATTGTTCATCGTGTCGCAGTACTCACAGGAGAACCAAAGTTGTGTCCAACTTCATGCGCAAAGGTGATGTGTGACACCTTAGGAGGGACATGTGAAGCATAGTTCTGCACTGTAATGATCCCAGTGTTGAGAGACTTCTTCTTCCCATCCGAGTACATCCTGTTCTTTTCACAGATGCCACCAGAGCTTCCTGTAGCAGAGTTTAAAAACACATAAAACTAAATAACCAAATATTAGACGATAAGAGGGTTTTAATACCCTCAACCATGACCTTAAATGTGATTTGCTTTCCTGGTGGACACCAAAAGGCATAAATATGGGTCAATGATGTGACACAATTTTTTGTCCATCTCTACATTTTACAGTTAAAAAAAAAAAGGTTTAAACGCGTTAAAAGAAACCACAGATATGTAATATCTCAATGTCCAAACTCGATTACAGTTTCAAAAATGTCTTAAAAATTACATTAAATCTGTTCAAATAATTTTTATTTCTTATTCGGCATGATTTTCAGTTTTTTCTTCATCCTGTACAAATTTTCAAAGCATTTTTAGTTATAATTCTATTATAAACATATAAACAAACTTTGTCCGATAATGTCCATTTAACAAAATATCGTGTTGCGCCCATCAAGAAATTCCCATTTTTGGACTTGTATTTTGAAATCCAGTCAAAAACAGGAAGTTGCATCATCCAAAAGTTTGCCAAGAACCCCTGGAGAAAGCAAAGAGTTTGTTAATGTTTCTCAAATTTCATAAAAAGTGTCACTTTTAGCAGTTGGTATGTAGTTGCCGTATTTGTATATCATGTGGTATGACCTAAAAAAAAACTATTAATATATAATGCATGTTACTTTTGTTTATGTTTAAAAAAGTATTTTATTTTTCCATCTTGATTAATATGCCATGTTCTATTTATTATTATTACTATGTTGAGTCAACAAGCATCAGCCTCGTCATCGTTGTACACGCCACTTTGTTTACTTTTTCTAAAACTAAATGAAAAATCCACATTTTGCACGACTGCCTACAAACAGAACATCAAGTCTCAGTACAAGCTCATTTATGACAAGTTGCACCTAGGCCTGTCACGATAAATTTTACTGGGCGATTAATTATCTCAGAAATTCTTGTGATAAATGATAACATTGTTTGAAATTCAACCACTTTTTTCCCCCCTATTCATTCAACCTCACTTATTAATTATTGTCAAATTTAAGAAGAAATGTTGGTTATTTTTTGTGTGTAATACCTTTTTTTACCACTTGATGGCAGTACGAGACTGAACCTAAGGATGGATAGTGATGGAGCGAGCAGCGTGTCTCTAAGAAAAATGGGAGGGAGGCCCTTTGACGGGACATGGGCCGTCTCTCCTTCCTGTTGTTCGGTTCTCAAAATGGCAGACGCGCTGCGTGGTTTGAGCTCTTTAGCATAGCATTTTTCACACAAAGTTTTTAATTTTAAAAAATCAGTAAACAAGTTCTCAGCTTCTTTTTGCAGAGAAAAACAACTTTTTAGACAAAGGCACGGGTTTCAACGGTAAATTTTGGAGCTTTTTACAAGACGAAGGATTTTTTTCCCCCCTGAGGTCGGCCTTTTAGCTTAGCTCGTAGCCTAGCTTCTCAGCTTATCTGTTTTAAAACAGATTTAAAATAGAAAGGGAGGGGTCAGTGAAGAGCACCGGAGTTGAGCCTTTTGTCATCCAGTGTCTTCAGTAGAGAGAGACACAAAGAAATGATAAAGCCGATAAATGAAATTGAGGTCGATAATTTTCATTTATCATGCGATTAATTGATTTATTGTTTATCGCGACAGGCCTAGTTACACCTCAAACTGCAAAAACCGCACTCTTGCATACATTTAAGGTTTAAGGCAGTCCATAAACCATTGAATAAAGCCAATTGGCGAGATGAAGTTAAAAACAGATGAAAAAAGCTAACTTCAAATTTATCACCAGTCTTTCAAATGAACCATACGTTTACTTAATATTTTTCTAATGAGCATTTTTATAGATTTAAGCTTCAAACATTTATTTACTCATACTCTTTCAAGGCTGAGCCCTGCATGTGGGAATAGTCCTCACTCATGAGCTGTGTGCCACTTAAATAAAAAAAAAAAAGGAACTTTATTCTAATGTGCCACATGAATTATTTGCATCCTAATACTAAATATTTTAGCAAAGTCTTAAAAGACCAGGCAGGGGCCAACAGACAGATCTGCACTTCCCTTATGGCCCCATACCTTCTAAAAATTATAAAACCTTAACTTACGACACCATTTTTTGTAATGGAAAGTATTTTACACAGACAACTGAGAAGTAATACTTGTGGAAACTCCGGTCGATTAATGGAGACGTGTCAGGTGACATGGTGGTCCTTCAATCTGGCCCAAACAGACTCTGCTCAAACTGTTGTAAAATGGTGGCCCAGACAAGCTCTAAATGTGGTCTCTGACTGGATTCGAGAAAACCCTCTCCATGTTTTGGCTTTGTTCAGACCCGTTATTGGTGCTGTATAATAAAGATAGAAGATTACCCAGGATGCAAGTTGGCACCATGTTTGTACAGCCTTGGGTTTTAGCAGCAGCTGTCAAAGCTCCCGCTGCAGTATACGTCACCGCACAGGTTTCTTCCAGCCAGAGTCACCACTCGTCTCTGCACCTGCCGTTTGGCTACAAATCTATCTTGGAGAGAGCGCCACACTTTTCAGCAGACACACTCCTCCATGCACGATGTCTGCACGATCTCCATCCCGTTTTTAGCCATTCGACTCATTTGGTGCGTTTGAACCTTCCATCTTATATTCAAGATCTTGTTCCATATTTTCCTAACAGAGCACTTCGCTCTCAGAGTGCAGGTTTACTCGTGGTCCCTAGAGTTTCCAAAAGCAGAATGGGATGAAGAGCTTTCAGTTATCAGGCTCCTCTCTTGTGGAACCAACTTCCAGTTTCTGTCCCGTGAGGCTGACACATTGTCCAGTTTTAAGACTGGGATTAAGACTTTCCTTTTTGATAAATCCTATAGTTAGGGTTGGCTTGTTATGCTGCTATAGGCTTAAACTACTAGAGGACAAATTGACCCAACTTCCTTAAATTAATTGTTAAAATTGAAGTTTTCATTTGATACCATTTCTATCTTAAAATGCGACTCTCGGCCTGCCATTGTGTATCTGTTCCTCTTAAGCCCAGTCAATCGAAGCAGATGGAGCTTGTCCTGAGTCTGGTTCTGCTAAAGGTTTCTTCCTCACAAGGGAGTTTTTCCTTTCTGCTGTCACCTTCATGCTTTCTGCGATGGGAGTTAAACTCAACGCAGTCTGCTCCTCAGATAAATAATGTTAAATTATTATTTTATATATGAATATTTCTGTTCAGTGTCCTGAGACGACTTCTGTTGCGACTTGGCGTTATATAAATAATCTGACTTGAACTGAATTGAAGCATCGTAAAGCTGAACACATTTCTACATTGACGAACACGCCCACAACTTCTGACCGATCACACAAAACTTGGTAAATCCACTTGAGAGAAAAGGTTTGGACCGGTTCTTGTGTCGAGAAGGGGTGAGCTAAGCTACGCCGAGAACAAAAATTACCATATGCGATTTTTTTTAACGCAACTACGACCGTGAGAGACAATTTTACCGCTTTGGATGAAGTATGCAGGATTTTTAAGACAACACAAAGAACAGAGCGAGTCGCAGAAGGGGCTGCCACATCTAAAACATAAAACCTTACAATTATGTGCGTTGAAGACCAGCTGGCTGCTGCACAGATTATCACTCACTTCGCCGCTGGTGAAGTGAGCTCTCATTAGGAGGCCCCTGCTGTTGTAAGCTATAGAAATATATCCTCCACAATTCAGTGATGGATGCTCTGCCTTCACAAAGCTTCGCTCAAGTTTAAGTCACACAAACATATCTTTGGTAAAATCAACAGAAATGCACAGTCCACACAAAGTGCACTGGGAATGCAACCTCATACGCTGCTTGGATGTAAAAAAGGAGACCTTTCAACAGCTCCTGCAAGCATTTTAAACAAGTTTACTTTTTTCCAAAAATTTTTTATACGCATTTTAAATATTGGTGCTATTTTTTAAACACGTTCCTTTTTCAATACCTCATACCACGACAAACCCTTTTTTTATTTTCTGTTACTATTTTCTGTTATTTTATTTTCCCCATGCAACGCCTCCCTGAAGAACTCTGGCACCCTCTATGGGAGGCATGCTCCACACTTGAAAAGCCCTGGACTAAAAAAGGCACGACTGGAGGCATAACATCCCACAGTTCATGCATTGTACTGGGTGAACCAACCGAAAGGGAACTGTTGCCAGCATTTGTTTAACAATATTTAGAAATTATTTCAAACTAACAGTGTTTGTGTGTTTCATGCCAACCTGAAGGAGCACCAACCCAGGCCAAGCCAAGCACGCCATCATCAAAGTCTCTGTCAGTAAAGACGTAGGCTAGACAGTAATCGTCATGGTTCTGTTCAGAATTAAGCTCCAAGAACTTTTCCACACCGATGTTGGCAAAACGAAAAGGATTACTTCTGTCCTTTTCTTCATCTGTGGAATTTATCTATTAGAAAGAAAGTTAAATAAATATGAAACGGGTTAAAGAGGGGACAAAGTCATTGTTGACAGTTTTTCCACTATATTAGTTGATTTATCTTCTTGAAGTTGTTTTATGAACAAATTCTACACCGCAACTCCTATATTCATACTTTAAATGATTTTTTAAAAACATTTTAAATTTGATTGGTGAAATTCCACTTACCCTTATCCTTTTAACCATAAAACCAATGTTCCGTATGCCCGTGAAGTCCGTGACTTTGTAAACGGAGTCGATCGCCTTCACGTGACTGGAAATCTAAAGAAAATGTCACTGATTAGAAGAGTGGAAAGAAGTCGTATGATAAAAACACTTTTGGAAACCTTAAGAAAAAAAAAGATTAAAAGCTATTTCAGGCTAAATCTTACGTGCATCACATGCTCAGAAAACTAGAACCCAACCCATGCCTTGTAGTGAGGCATGCACAGTAAAAGAAGCAGAACAGCTAATAAAACTTGAGACAATTTCTTTAGGGGTGATTTTTCAACATTTTCACGTGCGTAAAAACTGTACACTGGGGGGGAGGGGGGTCAAGGACTGGTGTATGCTTTTCAAAATAAACATATTTTTATGATACGCCCTATATAACCCAAAAGTTGCTATTCTCCCGCAAGGCAAAACCTGACACCATCTGACGCACAATGAGACGGGAGCCACCGCGGGGGTGCACAGCCTGTTTTGATTGTCTCGTGAAACTTGTTTCTGCTGCTTTAGTTCTTACAATTAAACAATGTTAACACTAAAAGATTAATATTTGTATGCCCCAGATTATAGTAAAGGTACGTCTCAGTCAACTTTATTCAATTTTCTCCAAACTCTCAAAGTTATTTCTGTGAGAGAGTCAGATTACATATGTAGGTTCAGTATATCCATCCATCATCTTTACCCACTTCTTCATTTTTGGGTTGCGGGGGTCACTGGTGTTCTTAGCCACCGATCACTGTACGAGAGGCGGGGCCACCTGGACTGGTCTCCAGTCCCTCACAGGGACACCCTGGACAGGTCTTCAGTCCCTCACAGTAACCACAACAGATGTATAGTTTATCACAAATACCTGTACGTCTGTAACAATTTGCGATGTGTACAATTGTGGAACGACAGCAATTTTACCTTAGTACAATATTGTAGCATCCCAGAGAGACTGCGTGAGCTGCAAAGGATGCTGGGTGTCAACGCTAACGACTTTAAGTCAGGTCCAATGGATGGATTAAAAAAATAAAACTTGTTGAAACATTTGGTCTTTAATCCAAAAGACTTCGTCAGTCTGCGGAGCTGTAATTGGAGCTTGTGGCAATTATGTGTGCAAAGTTTCTGACCGTCTACGATGGTTACGAGCGTGAAAACTGATTGCTCTTGTTAATGTCCTGTTCAGGTTTGGTCTGACATTTATATTAAAGTCTCCGTTATTGGCTGTAAACTGGCATCATGATGAGTCAGACGTTGTTCCTGATATGCATTAGGAGGAAAGCACTTTCCATTGAAGGGCGGAAGTGCCAAAGGGTGACGTCACACGAGAGTTACTGCTGTGATTTTACTGCTGGCACTCGTGAATTTCTATCCAAGTACGCGCACGTGGGTTTTAGGTTTCAGCTTTTCTTACGATAAAATAGATTTCACAAAAGTCAACATTTTTCTCTACGCTGATGGAGGAGGAGAGGTGGGTCTCCAAAAAGAGTACGGTAAGTTTTGCACGCTTGCTAAAATGTTGAAAATTATGAATTACCCATTAGTAGCATCTTGAAATTAATTTTTTTATTTTTTTATTATTTTTGCATATTATTCTGCTAAAGTAGGACTTTAAAGGATCAAGTTTAGAGTTCTGCTGTTGAATTTGTGAGAACAGTTGTAAAATTCTTTCAAAAAGGTTACAGGGCTGACAGATTTTATTTCATTTATTTTTACAAAAAAACACGTTGGCAAAGTGAACAGACCTCTGCAGTTTCTAATCTCTGACTCTTGTGCTGGTGGTTTATAAAACACCAGAATTTCAAATGCGTTTACAAACTGGTTGAATCAAAGAGAGTGTCTGAAATCGTTTTACTTTTCAGCAAGTTTAATTTTAATTAATAGAATCCGGCAGCGATACTGATACTGTTTATTCAAAATAACAGCTGGACATTTGAACCAGCGATCCACGCGACCCGAGAAAGACAAAGCAGGTAAAGATAATGGATGGATGGATGGATGGATGGATGGATGGATGGATGGATGGATGGATGGATGGATGGATAGTTGCATATACAAGGAATGTGATTCAGTGTCCAAGTCCATCATAAATATTAAAAAGTGTTTTTCATACTAATTTACATATACACATTTATACACACAAATAAGAAGTCATAAATTCTCCTGTTACTGCTGAGCAGGTGTCAGGTTGTGGTGTTTGCAAGGTTTACAATATTTTATTTGACAATCTAGGAAGTGTCTCCTATTTTTTGAGCCACGTGAGCTTAAAACAACGAGTTGCTGCTGTGAACCAAAGCATCATCAAGAAAAGGCACTGGGACCGTTTTACGTACTCTGATTAGCAGCTAAATCAGTTCAAGCTAACAGATGTTATAGCTGCATGATTTTAATAGGAACATCATCCAGTGAAGGTGTTGAAGTGCATTATTCTATCAAACTAAGAAGCCAAAGGAAAAGTCACCTACGGTATCTTTGTTTACACACCTGAGCGATGACGGCCTCTTTTGTGCCGTAGTAATTGTAGAAGAAGTGATCGGTCTGAATGTAGAGCTGGCAGATGTTTTTCTCTTTCCCTGCTGCCCTCTTTCGTCTCAGAATGACTGGACCATCTGAGCCATCATCCTCCAACATAACGTTCTCCATCTGTCCAAAATACAGTTAGTTTTAATTAGAATGCATTTGTTAAGTGAGCTAGTGTGCACACAGAAAATCGGTTTCTATTCTGAACACCTCAAAAGTTACAGTTTTCAGCAGTGAGAAGGATCAGGTGTGAAAATGTGTGGTTACTTGCATAACCCTGGTTCTCAACGAGTACAATGCGTGAGATGTCTCGCTATGGGGTACGCCTTCCTCTGCAGCACATATCTCTTTACTCCAGTCCTGACTGGCTGGTGATTGCAACACTTGTGTCTTCTGCCATTTAAACAGCTTGTGCTACAGTGCAACATAGTTCAAAAGAAGCACCTCTTCTTGTTTCGAACTGCAAGAAGGCGAGACATCAAACTCGTGATACTCTGAGAATCGAGGTTACACAAGTAACTTAAAGTTCTTATGCATAAAATTTGATTCAGTGTCTTACTACGGGTTATAGAGACTCTTATTTTACCAGACAGCTTATTTTTAGCAACCACCAGCACCCAAAGGTGCTCACCCAGTTTACTGCGACAGTAAAACAGAACTTGTTTTTTAATGTGTGCGTGCCTGTGTCAAAACCAGCCACTAGGGAGCACAAGCCAGTGTATCTCTTGTGCCGATCCCCAAGCCCAGGTAAATGGTGCGGGTTGTGTCAGGAAGGGCATCAGACATAAAACACTTTTGGCCAGAACTATAATGAGAGTTCATCAAAGCGAAACCGGATCGGTTGAGGTCCGAGTTAACAACGATCACCACCGGTGCTGTTGACAAACAGGGAGCTGCTGTTTTACCGTCCAAGTGGCTTGGGGCGATTTCTTCCCTTCACCGAGGATCTGATGGTCTCCATTACTACTGCAGGCCTGAGGATGTTGAGTCTGGAAGCAGCACGTTTGCACAATCTCTGCATGCCCATGCACACAGTGGAAGAGGTTGGTGCCCTCTCCTCCTCATCCTACGGTTCTGACAAAGTGCCAGGCTTTGCAGGCTGAATGCTTGGGATGAAGATTTCATCAATGTCATCTTCGGCATGATGAGTTTCAAAATTACGTCTTTGTCCTTCTCATAATCAAGTTCAAGGATGTTCCTTGACAGGTGTGAGCGACTAAGTTCAGCTGGAAGTCTCAGCTAGCTGTAGCACCTAGTTCAGTGTTCACACCTTCGTTCTGCTCATCCTCATTGTCAGGCGACAACTGTCAACAAGTATGGGTCCTTGCCAGAGAGACTAGCTTGAGAGACTAGCATATTTAGAGGCTCTTGGGGGCCGAGATGGGGTAGAGGCAGGGCAGCCGACTCAGAACCTGGAAGTCCCAGGTTTGATCCCCAGTCATTACACATCTTGTGGCGTCTCTGAGCAGCACACCCTATCCCCAAATGCTCCCCGGGCGCCTTCAATAGCTGCCCACTGCACCACCTGGGGGTGAATGGGTTAAATGCAGAGAGCCACTTTCACCATTGTATGGGAACATACAATGATAACACATTATTATTATTCATGGGGAAGCGGGAACAGTTCCAGCATGAGCCAAGAACTTCAACCCCCTGGTGGGCATGCTCCAGCCTGAGGCACATTGAGCACAATCAGTGTGTAGCCTTACTCATGATTCCATTACTTCAGCCAAATAGATAAGTCTCCGACTATCTTATCTGGTGTGAGGTGGAGCAGAATTCCTTTCAATCACTGGTTTGCTAACTCAAAATGAACCAAGTCAGCTGGTGCGTGAGCCAGGAAAGAAAACTGTATTAGCTGGCTTGCAAACACCAAGAATTACTCACAACAGCGATAGGTCCTCCAGTCTATGGTGAAGGCTGAACCTACTTCAGCTAATGCCCACTGACAGAGTTGGCCAACTTTGCTCCAGTTTATGGACAGTTAAGCTATCCTGCTAATGAAAGAGAAAAGCTTTAAAGTGAGTAGGGTTTTTGAATGATGGTGCATCGTAGTACAAGCTACTTAAAGGGTAAGTGACGCAGGCGTGGCAATCACTAGCCTGTCAGGATTGCTATAATGAGATAAGTACTTCTAAAAAACACGAAAAAAGGTGTATCCCATAGAGAGGCATGGAAAAGAATGCATTGAATGAGAACAAAATGTGTTTGTATGAGTACACAGGAGGAGGCGGGGTCTTGTTGTCGTTGTTGTTGTTGTGATGCTGGCTCTTACTTTAACTGGCTCCTGAACTGCAGATGTCTGGTACTTCTTCATCCTTTCAAACACAGAGTGGTCAGCGCAGCCTCCCTCTGAGCCATACTTATGGGGATAATCTGGCAGAAAAAAAAGGAGATAAGGGAATGACTTTCAAGAGTTGCATAATGAATGCGTTATGTGTAAAATCACATGACTTAGGGAGGTCAGTCGGTACGAATAAGGTGCAGGAGGAGATGAATTTAGAAAATTACTCGATTGTGAATGACAAAGCTTTTCTATTTCAGTAAATCTAAATGAACAAACGCACATCCTCTTCCTTTTTCCCTTCCAAACTTAAGTCAATTTAAATTAAATTAAATTTAAAAATCGTAGATTACCAATGATTAGCCTCCATAAATAAAAAATATATATATATATTTCTTGAGAACATGCCAACGCACCCCAGAAACAAACAAACAATCTATTGTGATTAAACTGCTTTTATCAAAGTAATTTAAATTTTGAAAAACTCAATCCCTTACACATTAATAAAAAGTAGTATAAATGTCTCACAGCTGTTGGCAACTAAAAAACCAACAATGCTGACTGAACGGGCTGAACTGACAGAGGACACACTGTGACCAGACTGAAGATCCGACAATGTGCTTTTGGCGTCTTCTTTGAACAAGCAGTCTTTGTCTTTGTAGTAAATGGTGTTTAGCTGCTAATCAAAAGGCTTTTGAGCAGATGTACAAACACACACACACAAACAATTGGAGAAAAAGAAAAAGATGATTTTAATAATATAAATAATTATTTTGATTAACATTTAAATCTTATGACGTGTGGCAAATAACCATTGCTGATTTTGTCTGAAGAAGAGAAAAAAAAAAGTTCTTTACTCTGAAAATCAGGCATCTTACTAGTTTTAGGGTGCAAATCAACCGTCTTTAAGAAAGCACCGATCAAAAAATAAAATCAAAGGTCATCACATGCAGTTGGTTTAAAACATGATTTAGTATTACCCGTCAACTACAAAGTAAACAGTTTTATTTTATCTCTAACACAATACAAACATGGGCAAGAACCACTAATACGCAGCCTCACCATGTTTCAACAATGTGCATGTCTACAAGGATAGAAATGTTCCAACATTTAGCCTAATCTGACAAGCACACCGCCATGCGACGTGCACAGGACTTAAAAACAAACAAACAAAAAAAAATTAAGGATCAGACAGTAAAATTCAAAATTAAGAAGAGTGCTAAAGTTGCACTGTGTGGGCATGTGTACATCTTAAACTTATTATTTCAAACTACTAGGGTTCGGCAGCATTTATTGACACAGCATTGTGTTCCAAAACGCACGTCTAGCCACTGGATTCTCATCCATTTTCATTTATTTTTTGTTTATATCCCTACTTTCATAAGCAAAAAAGCTTTAGTCCCAAAATATTCCCTGAAAAAAGTTTGATTCTAGCATGAAGTTCCCGTACACACCTCTGTCCAGGTGTGACTGCTTGTGAAAGTCTGTTATAAGGACAAAAATGTAGAGACGAACGAGAGAAAAACTTTAATGCGTTTCATTACTTGAAGTGCAAAAACTTCTGCTTTGACTATTCAAAACTTTTTAGAAGTGTTCCAGTTTTCCAAGTTCTTCATGATCCCCGGGCTAAAATTGAAAAGTATCAATATATTTAATGAATATGCATCAACCTGGGCAAAGACTTTCTCTAAGGGCCAATTATTTGAAGTGAAAGTTGCTGTGGTTGATTGTTTAGCTCTATTAAAAGCTCAATACTTTTTTTTTGTGCGCGAAGAGCATTTGTCTCCTTAATAGTGGACCCAGAATGTGATTGTTTGGCTAAGTTTAAGGACTGAATCCATTTACTGAGGAGGTTTTGTTAAATACACCAGTCAACTGCTTGCACAGTGAAAAACCGGACAATTTCAATGTTTATTTTCCCACCCTTAAATCAAATACAGTAGTCCCTCACTACTTTGTGGTTCGACTTTCGCGATTTTTCAACGTAAGGTTGTACACGACACACGATTGTCAATTTTAATATTACCCACGTGACTGGGACGGTACGGAATAAAAAGTTTTAAAATACTTCGGACGGGCACCGTCATTTTGTAGTTTTCTTTCATTAAGCCTAAACTGTAAGTCAAAAGAACTACACTACCCAGAAGCCAACAGTGCTTCCGGCCTCTGCTTTCTGCAGAAATGGCAGCAATGGAGGGAGGATCCATCTATGAAGAACACAGGACTGGCAGGAAAGTCACAAATAATCCTGAAGCTGAACTCGTCCTTCAAGTTGCATCTTCACTGGTGACCTGGGCTGCAGTTGATCCGGACTCAGTGTGACCCGGATCCTGGGGGCTGCAGGGAACAGATGGCGGCAGAGTTCGGCCTGGTTGTGGTCTGGACCCGGGCCGAGGTGGTGGTCTACATCCCGGGCAGCCTCGCGCATGGAGTGCCCTTCCTGGAGCAGCAGCACGCGCACATCAACCTGGACGGGGCGGTGGTCTTCGTCGTGCTGCAGGGTAGCCAAACCGGAACTGAACCCAAGCTGCTGGTCTGCAGGGCTGGTGAGTACTAATAAAATTTTGCAGTACTATACAGTACATATACGTATGTTGTTAAAATGATGTAGGTTTAAGAGTTTAGAACATTGCAAGAGAAGGGAAGGATTTATAAAGCCTTAAAATATATAAAAATACAAAAATAAATATTGTGTTCCTACTTTGTGGTTTTTCCACCCATCGCGGGGGTGTCTGGAACGTAACCACCGCGATAATCAAGGGACTACTGTACCCAAGAACTAGGCAATGCAACACACCTGCATAGGATTTAAGACATCTACTATTCAATAAATTTAATCAAATTAATCAAATATCTGCTGACTTGTATGATTAGGGTGAAGCTGATATAAAACGTAAGAAAGCAACGTTTATAATTTTCTTCATGTTATTTTTAACCATAGTGAGTACTGGATACTTACGGATGTCGTCTTCATGATAGATGACGGAATGGAATGGTACATTCTTGTTATTCAAATATCTCTCTGAGGGCTCAACATAGTAAGTTCCTTGGTGGGTTTTAATAAAGCCCTCAAAGCGTCCATCAACCACAGAGCCATGGGTCAGTGTGCCCTTTTCACCTGGCAAACGAAGCAGGAAATAACTTAACATGCCATAGTAGGACAGAATTTCAAACAAGTAAAATCTTAAATAGTACCGTCATGCATATACAGTCGCATTAACAAAATACATTTCTTTATTGACTGGGTTTGTTAAATAGAATTAACAGTCCTGTTTTTCCTCAGGTTTAGTCGATTATTAGAGAAGATGTGTGGCAGGAAGGTGTTCAGAAAGGAAGGAATAAAAAGTGGGAGGAAAGGTAACTCCAGGTTCTGTATGATCAGGACAGTGATGTGTTAAGTAACGTACAAGAACATCGTTTGCATTCATAAACGCACCTGAGATGATCCAAAGAACAAGAAAGGGTTCAGGCTTTTAGATGCAGAACATGTGAATGAATTCAACTTTTTTTTTTTTTTTTTTTTTTATAAAACTCTTCCTAAGAAGTGTGGCAAGGAAATTGTTTGGACTCACCAAAAATTTCTCCACTGTAAATATGGGATGTGTCAATGGGTGCCTCCTCCCCAGACACATCAATAATAAGATCTGGAGAAAAGAGACTTGTATCCCTCTTCAGCCGCAAGTTAAAGTGTCTAAAGAGAAAGACAGGAGACATTTAACACTCACGGTTAGTTACCAGCAGACAAAACACATAAATGAACTGACATGTATTTGTGTCAGCATTGCACAGCAAAGCTCTGACAATCTCAGTTTCAGTAAGAACAAACAGTGATAAAAGCAAAGGAAGCAGGAAGATCGGTTCATTTTGCACTGAGCTTCAACCCTCTTGCTCTGCTCGGTGTTGCTCAGAGCTGCTAGGCTCAGTCAGAAAAACACAAACTCCTAAGCAAAGCTATAAAGTATTTTCACCCTTTTTAATACCTTTATAGCAAGTATCACATGAGTATCACTAGGTCCCCAGAAACCTGAAACGTTAAAGTCAATAGTTCAATGAATATCCCCCCCACCCTTACCCTACCAGAATTCTTAAGTAATCACATGACGATAGAAAGATTACTCCACACGATTCTGTCCGACTTGATGCAACAGAACGACTGAGCCCTTATGAGCGCTACAATTTTGTCTTTCACGTTTCAAAACAAAATGGTAAAAATTTAAAATATTATTTTTTGTCTAATTACAAATAATGAGTGTTTCTGGAACTCTGTTCAAAAATTATAGATCAGATCAGATATTTTTAGTCTTTAAAAAAACTTATTTAAGATTTTAAGGACGTATATTTAATTGGATTTTTGATAACTGGTTCCTGTTTTGTGGATTCGGCTGGTTGCTGGTTTTATCTAAAATCAAGGAAGTCGTCGGCAGCAAATTTTGGACCCGATCACGCTGCTTGCCTTTATGATTGCTTGGTTCGTGCCTCGAGTACCCGGACTCAAATGCTTTGGGCAGAATGGATCAGATCTCGGGGATGTTAGTCACGTTCAACGGTGTGGCCATGTAATTTGGACATTTCGGAGCCGAGTGGACCAACACAGACTCAAGGTAGATGTTATAAAGTTCTGCCTGTCCCCAAAACAACTGTGTGTTTATCTGAATTTGGCTCCATTGGCTGGCCTTGAAGGTCATCTTATCTGAATTCACCTGGAGAACACGTGATCTGACGCTCACCACCCCCTCCCTGAGGAATTTCCAACTGATAACCAGATGAACCAGCTGAATAAATATTGTGTCACCATTTCAGGACTCTTGGATTCTCATAGACGTTAATCTTGACCATTCCTCAACATACCTCGAGAATGTTTATGGATCTCACTGGAGGACATTGACTGATTATTCCATCCTTATCAGAACTCTTACAGTGCCCTCGAGAGCATCTATGAACATTGCTCACCACTCTCGTCGTCCACCTCTGCAGAATGTCTACGTCACTATGTGCTTGCTTGTGCGAGATGTTTTTTAATATCAGAGTTTTTTCTTCTCAGGCTGGAAAAAAAAAAAGTCTGATAGGATTTTTTTTTTCACCTCCAATTCCTACATGTGTCCAGTTTACCACTTTTATTGTCTGTCCAAACAGTTCTCACTTGTAAATGAGTCTTTGAGACTCAATATGACTTATCTGTTTAAATAAAGGTTGAATTAATGAATGAATATTACACTACCAAGACACTTTACAGTTTATTACTGCAGCTTTCTTGTAAGCGTCAATCAAGTTAAGACATACCAACTCAAAAAAGTATGGGAGCAAATGAGAGTGAATACTCTTGAGAGAGTGAATGGATGTTCGTCTCGTTTGTCTCTGATGGACTGGAGACCTGTCCAGGGTGTTCCCCACCTCTCACACAGTGACTGCTGGATATGGGCACCAGTGACCCCCATGACCAGGAAAAGGAAGAAGCACGTAAAGATGGATGGATGGATGGATGGATGGATGGATGGATGGATGGATGGATGGATAAAATACTGACACCATAATGAATCACCTCTGTTGGAAATTTGCAGGGGTCAGCATAAGCAGTTTCTGGTTGTCTGAGACAACAAATTTTCATTTCAGACATCCAGATCTTGCCTCGAGGTTGTCTGGTGGACAACCAAATGAAATAGACAGATTAAAGTTCTGTCTCCGCGATGGATTTCCATCATCTGTTAAAATGAGGTGCGTGTGTGGGTAGGTGGAGTTCTTTTATTCTAAACTTTATTTATTTGGTTTTTAACAAACTGTACAGTCATAGCACCATTCTTCTATTGTACTGTACATATAAAACAAACTGTAGAACTTTCTTTAAAATATATAAAAAGGTACGAACTCAAAAGAACAGACAAGCAGACTCCACTCCCGTCAATGTGGCATGTAGAAAAAAAATAAGACAAACTGATCACCACTCTCAGTTAAGACAAGTCAGTATTGCCATTTCCATCAAATTAGTCATGTACGAATATGTTTAAAAAAAATAATAAAAATAAAAAACAGGAGAGGGAACCTCCAGAAAAGACCAGAAACATGAGAAAAAGTAAATACATAAAATAATAATAATAATGGCAGCTAAGTAGTGAGGGAAAGTTAGTTTGTCTAGCCAACAGTTAGTGGTTGCCAAGTATGCGTAAATTGCTCAGAAACGCTGTGCAGTGACATACTAATTTTCTCAAGTTTAAGAAAGTAAAGAATATCCCTGAGCCAGTGTAAGAAAGAGGGGGGATGAGGTATGAAATGTGTGTTTTCAACCGTCCCAATTTAGGCGGGACAGTCTCGTATTTTGACCATCATGTCCTGCATGTGGAAAGCGGGACGCTCAAATGTTCCACATATGACAAGAGCTGGCTGGGCTCACCTGCTCATGCCATGTCTGTGTGGAAGGAGGGGTACAGAATTGCCGTTTCACAGGCTTCCTGCAACAGCAGGAGTAAGGTTAAAAAGTCAATGTTGACTGTAAAGTGCAAGTTCTCAGCTTACAGTAACTGTTGGAATTTTTCTGATAGAACAAACTATTGCAAAGTTCCAGCAATGCAAAGTGAGCTTAAAGCAAATGTCATCGGTAAAACACTTGAAAGAAAAAATAAACATTTTGTTGTTAAAGTTCAGGTATAACCGATTCAGCCATCAACCATCATTTATTAGGATGAAAATCTTTATTATTTCAGTTCAATTCAGTTTATTTATAAAGCATCAAGTCACAACAGAAGTCATCTCAGGGCACTGAACAGAAATATTCATATATATAAATAATAATTTAACATTATCTAAGGAACAGACTGCTTTGAGTTTAACTCCATCACAGAACTCTCATCTTGAAAAAGCATGAAGGCGACAGTGGAAAGGAAAAACTCCCTCATGAAGAAGAAACCTTTAGCAGAACCAGGCTCAGGACAAGCGGACCATCTGCTTCTAACGGCTGGGTTTGGTAGGAACAGATACACAATGGCAGGGCAAGAATTACAAGTTAAGATAGAAATAGTATCAAATGAAAACTACTCAGTTTTCGCAAATCATTTAAGAAAATGAGGTCAATTTGTACAAACCGGATTCCAAAAAAGATGGGACACTAAACAAATTGTGAATAAAAACTGAATGCAATGATGTGGAGGTGCCAACATCTAATATTTTATTCAGAATAGAACACAAATCACAGATCAAAAGTTTAAACTGAGAGAATGGATCATTTTAAGGGAAAAATCTGTTGTTTCCAAATTTCATGGTGTCAACAAATCCCAAAAAAGTTGGGACAAGTCCATTTTTACCACTGTGTGGCATCCCCCCTTCTTCTTCCAACACTCAACAGACGTCTGGGGACAGAGGAGACCAGTTTCTCCAGTTTAGAAATAGGAATGCTCTCCCATTCATGTCTGATACAGGCCTCTAACTGTTCAATCGTCTTGGGCCTTCTTTGTCGCACCTTCCTCCTTATGAAGTGCCAAATGTTCTCTATAGGTGAAAGATCTGGACTGCAGCTGGCCATTTCAGTACCCGGATCCTTCTCCTACGTAGTCATGATGTTGTGATTGCTGCAGCATGTGGTCTGGCATTATTGTGTTGAAAAATGCAGGGTCTTCCCTGAAAGAGATGACGTCTAGATGGGAGCATATGTTGTTCTAGAACCTGAACATAGTTCTCTGCATTAATGGTGCCTTTCCAGACATGCAAGCTGCCCATGCCACAAGCGCTCATGCAACCCCATACCATCAGTGATGCAGGCTTCTGAACGGAGCGTTGATAACAACTTGGGCTATCCTTGTCCTCTCTGGTGCGGATGACATGGCGTCCCAGTGTTCCATAAAGAACTTCAAATCGTGACTCATCTGACCACAGAAAAGTCTTCCATTTTGCCACACTCCATTTTAAATGACCCCTGGCCCAGTGCAAACATCTGAGCTTGTGGAGCTTGCTTAGAAATGGCTTCCTCTTTGCACTGTAGAGTTTCAGCTGGCAACGGCGGATGGCACGGTGGATTGTGTTCACTGACAATGCTTTCTGGAAGTATTCCTGAGCCCATTCTGTTATTTCCTTGACAGTGGCATTCCTGTTTGAGGTGCAGTGACGTTTAACGGCCCGGAGATCACGAGCATCCAGTAGAGTTTTACAGCCTTGACCCTTACGCACAGTGAATGTTCCAGATTCTCTGAATCTTTTGATGATGTTATGCACGGTTGATGATGATAACTTAAAAGTCTTTGCTATTTTACGCTGGGTAACACCATTCTGGTATTGCTGCACTATCTTTCTGCGCAACAATGGTGGAATTGGTGATCCTCTTACCATCTTGGCTTCTGAGAGACACTGACACTCTGAGAAGCTCTTTTTATACCCAATCGAGTTGTCAATTGACCTAATTGGTGTCAATTGGTCTTCTAGCTGTTCGTTATATGCTCAATTTCCTTTTTCCAGCCACTTATTGCTACTTGTCCCAACTTTTTGGGGATTTGTTGACACTGAAATTTTGAATCAACATATTTTTCCTTTAAAATGTTACATTTACTCAGATTAAACTTTTGATCTGTCATCTATGTTATATTACAAATAAAATATTGACATTTGCCATCTCCACATCATTGCATTCAGTTTTTATTCACAATTTGTTTAGTGTCACAACTTTTTTGGAATCCGGTTTGTAATTATTTCTATCTTAAAATGGTTTTTATTTTTCCTCCTATAGAAAGTTCACCTGGATCTGTCATTCTGTTCGTTTCTCCTTCCTGTTCCTCTCAAACCCAGCTGGTCGAAGCAGATGCGGTCGCTCGTCCTGAGCCTGGTTCTGCTGGAGGTTTCGTTCTGTTAAAAAGGGAGTTTTTCCTTTCCACTGTCTCCATTGTGCTTGCTCAGGATGGAAGACTGTGATCAAGTGAAGATTCAACACAATCTGCTTCTTCCTTAGATACAGAACTTTTACTAAATGTCTTTTATAATATTAATATATGTGAATGTTTCTGTTCAGTGCCCGGAGATGATTTCTGTGGGACTTGGCACCATTTAAATAAACTGAATTGAACTGAAAAATGGATTGAGCTGCTGGGGTGGGGGTGCTTGGATAACATCTAGATGTAGGAAATGTCAAAATATTTTTTTCTGCTTTAATCCCCGAGCCTTAAATACGCTGCGAGTGCCTCTCATATTGTATTAGCGCATTGTTTTTGTACGGCTAGTGCTCAACGTATTTTTTGTTAACGTTTTTTTTTAAGTTCATATTTTAGATCTTATTACTGTTTTTCTTTTATATTTCATACTATTGTTGGATGCAACCGAGACCCTGTGTACACAATTTTGTTCCACCACATGTACCACATGTGGCGCATATGACAAATAAAGAAACTCTCATGCAAAGTCTGACGACAGAGAAGAGGAGAACGAGGAAATTCCACTCCAGCTGCTGGAAGAGAGTCTGCCACCCAGCAGCTTACAATGTCCAAGCAGTTCACAAAAACAGAAACTTCATGCTGCTAGCCACATATCAGAACATGTTTCTACCTCATGTACCACCTACACATGTACTAATCAACATGCGTCTCTGGTCTTGTCTCTTAATTACTTGTTTAGATTGTAATGTTTAGATTAGGTTAGATGTATTTTCGTATTCATTATAAGTCTGTTTGTATTTATTGTTGTGTTGCATATCTGCACTGTGTTGTTTTGTTTTGCACCACATGTTCTGTGTTGCACCGTGATCCTGGGGAACACTTTCATTTCAATATGTACTTGTACAATGACAATAAAACCTCTCTGACTGACTCTGACTGAGATGGCTGACTCAGAAAATCTTTACATAGTAAACTTTGCATATAGTGCATTACACTTATAAAATTAAAAATTTCTTGAGATGTTTTGCCTTCTTTATTGTAAAAGCTGTGAACAACCAAACATTTTGACAAACAACCAGATTCTGTCATGAGGTCGTCCACTGGACAACTTGGCAAATATTCTTACGTCTACCCTTGATTTCCATAATGAAGAGAGACAAAAACATGTGTTGTGTCTAACATTATGTCACCGTGAGCCCAGTTATGTGCTCTGTGACTAGACAAATGTACACTACTGTTCTAAAATGGATTTTAAAAAATTACTCTTCTAAGCCAACAAGGAAATTACAACATTTATGTGAATCGGTGGTGTAAAAGAAAATTCTGAAGAAAGAAAATATCATTCAAGGGAACAACGTCATCTCACAAAAGAATGTCATTTTGCGAGTTTTACTTGTGGCACTCGTGTTGTTACACTAAGCCCGACTATGTTTTTTGGTATCTGTATTATAAAGAAGCTCTCAACAGTCCCTGTGGCGCGTCTTGTCCCATCACCTGACCAGGCTACAAATATTTATGTGAGCGGGTGTCCACAAGCAGACTCTTCACTTGTTATAACAAGCTTCTATACTGTGAAAAGGCCTCCGTTTCTCACAAGGAAAAGGCTGTTAACTGGTAAGAGATAAATGTAATACTTGGTTCATTTAATGACTTTAATCGCTGGATGTCCGGCCCCTGAGCTGCTGGCTTTCTGTAACTGTGGCCCCTGAGCAGTTTAGTTGAACAGCCCTGGTTTAGAGTAAAGAAAACAAACCCGCTGAGCTTCTGTAAATTACCGATTCAGAATTACTTCAGCTTCTGAAAATGAAAGTGACAAAAATCTAAAATAGGAGTTTATTTCCACAAGAAGCTCTTCAGAAATACGCAGAGATCCAAAAACCTGAGTTGCACTTTAATCTGGCAGAGAAACTGAACAGAGAAACTTCAGATAAATAAATAAAAATGCTTCAGAGCTATTTTTATATAGCTATATAAAAAAAGATTCAGAGGTAAAAACAAGCCATAATACATTGCAACATGTTAAAAATCCTTGTACAACGTTGTCTTCTTGGTTAGGTTACTTGAAGAATCTATGATGTAACGTAACCAGTTTTAGAAAAATATGACAGTAAGGTAAAGAAATATGTCAATGTGTGTGTGTGTGTGTATATGATTATTTATTCTTCTTCTTCTTTTGGCTTTTCCCTAATTGATAATGATTATTTAATTTATTTATTTATCTAAATTTATTGCGACAAAAACAACTTTTTTAGAATAATCAAGGTTGTCAAGTCTGGTCTTCTGGACATTCAAAAAACAAAATTTTGAATGTCCAGAAGACCAGACTTAACTTTTTTTAAAGATTTTTCTACCTGGATTATTGAGCATGCATCAGGAAACTTTGATTATTGATTTACAGGCTGTATGGGTGCAGCAAAATGAGGCAGGGCCAGAGAAAAGTACTTTAAGGGTGACAGTTTCTTAGAGCTGAGACAAACCTGGAGTATCCCACAGGGTTACAACAATTTATCTTTGACAAGAAGGAAAAATAGCGACCGGGATGAGGATCAGTTCCTCCAAAAACGAGGCCGTGGTCTTGAGCCGGAAAAAGGTAGTGCCTTCTCCAGGTCGAGGAGGAGGTCCTGCCCCAAGTGGAGAAGTTTAAACATCTCAGTATCTTGTTCACGAATGAGGGAAAAATGGAGCGAGAGATCGATAGGCGGATAGGTGCTGCGTCTGCAGTGAAGCGGATGCTGTACCGGTCTATCGTGGTGAAGAGAGAGCTGAGTCAAAAGGCGAAGCTCTCAATTTACCGATCGATCTACGTTCCTACCCTCATCTATGGTCATGAGCTTTGGGTTGTGACCCAAAGAACAAGATCACGATACAAGCGGCCAAAATGAGTTTTCTCCACAGGGTGTCTGGGCTCTCACTTAGAGACAGGGTGAGAAGCTCGATCATCCGGGAGAGACTCAGAGTAGAGCCGCTGCTCCTCCACGTCGAGAGGAGCCAGTTGAGGGGGCTCGGGCATCTGGTTAGGATTCCTCCTGGACGCCTCCCTGGTGAGGTGTTCCGGACACGTCATACCGGGCGGAAGCCCAGGGGAAAACCCAGGACACGCTGGAGGGACTATGTTTCTCGTCTGGCCTGGGAACGCCTCGGGATTCCCCCGGAGGAGCTGGACCAAGTGACAGGGGAGAGGGAAGTCTGGGCCTCCCTGCTTAGGCTGCTACCCCCGCGACCCGACCCCGGATAAGCGGCAGAAAATGGATGGATGGATGAAGAAGAAAAATAACTAACTGTACAAATCTCTACTGCTGGGTTTACTTGAGCCTCTTTGTTTCACACAAAAGGAAGTGATCATTAAACCCCTCTCTGCTATTACAAATGAAGCATGACTGTATCACTTAAGTCTATTCCTTTTTGGTACGACTGAACCCTAAGTGGGGTAATATTTCTGCAACTAAGCTCACAGTTTCTGCTCTACACCTGTGTTGAAGGAGAAGCTGAAGTGTTGAATTACAATAATGGAGCCACTGAGGCCCCATGGGTACTTCACCTGTTAAGCCAGGTTGAAAATCCTCCCAACACAAAATCAACAACACTCTAATTTCTAAAGGTTACTACAATTTCATATTTTTATGAAACAACCTCAAACGTTACATTTGTCGTTTTTGGTGTCACTTAAGTTCTAGTTGTGAGTTATAACATGGAGGCAGCCATGTTATTTTCACCACTTTGAAAGGTGATCATAAAAATGGTAGCAAATAATACACTGAAAGTTACAAATTTCCACCCCCAAGTACAATGAATGTGTCACAAGAGCCGAGTGCGTTTCTGTCAAAAAGTCTTGTGCGGCATAAAACAAGCAATCTATATTTTGAACAACTTTAAACAGGTTCTGCTTTTATAACTCACTTTTTATCCCCAGGAAGGGGAGTCTGGTATGTTTGCAGTTAGACATAAATTCCAGCGAGAGATTAGGAGGATTTGTTAGACGGCAGAAAGACAAAGTAAATAAATGAAGGGGTGTGTGTGCGTGTGCATTTATATTCAACTGACCTTCCGTGAGCATGGAAGTTCAAGTGCACGGTCTTTTCCTGTGGAGATAGTGCCCTTTTGGCTCTCTGGTGACTTTCGTGCAGTGCCTCCGTGTCATACGACAAACCTTCATAATGGTGAATGTACTTGTTCAAAGGGTTTCCAAACTGACCTGAAAGAGATATCAGGGAGACGATCTTCTCTTAGCGTCCCTTGTTGCACATTGCACTGACTAATAAATCAAAGCAAATGGTCATCTGAAGTGTAATAAAAATTAAAGTATTATTTACTAAATACTAAATTTTCATGAACAATTGCACTCTTCTGTTGCCAATTAAGTAAAATACCAGGAACCCAAAATATTGAGATGTAATTTATGAATCCAACTTTCAGTGACGATGTCAAATGAAGTGACCTAGAGTCATGATGGGAAAACAGGAACTTCTACAACACTGACCAGCTACAGCACACTCACCCGACAATGTGGTAAAAGGGTTTTTCAACATAATGGCACACACCACTGGAGCTAATCCAGCTAGCTTTCATACCAACCATTTTCTTTGTTCTTCTAACGAAACAAAGAAAGTGCTCAGTTTAAAGCACATGTGAGGAGGGGCACATGATGCACATCATGTGACTGAGGGTTTTATTTCAGAGTACAGTGGTATTAGTGTGGGAGTCAAATTGAAACCGTTCCAGGTAGGATTCAAGGAAGCACTGAATGCCACTACAAAAACTACAAACTGTTAAAATATTTGTACTGAAACTGGGGTTGTACTTGCAAAATGTAATCAACATCGTCTAATTATGCTTCTGCCTTCTTTAGAGTGTATTATTACTAAAGTGAAAAACTAAATAGATGACATTCAGGTGTTCTTCAAAAAGCTGTTTCAAAATAAATTGTAAAAATATGGAAACATGATCCAGATTATCTGAAATGTTTGGTGTTAAATGATCATTTGGTAATAGAATCCTAGTTGCAACACAATTTTTAAAACGTAATTGAGTTTTATTTAAAAAGCAGATAAACTCTTAAGGTTGCATAATGAAGGACCCTAAACATTTGCTAATTTGTTACCAGATGCTTCACATGTTTACACCAAATGGTCTTGTTCTGTAAATTGGAACTTTATGTGGTGGGAGTCAAACACGCCCCAAACAGGTAGAGGCAGAACAAGACTAGCAGCAACTTGTTCATGAATGCACATGGAAAACTAACTGTACTACAATCCTTTCCATCACTTTCTTTAAAAATGCAAACTTCAAACATCTTGCATGAATCAACACTCTACTACAAAGTTTACTACTACCGATTGTTAGAAGTGGTTTTAATTTACCAGCATGTTAATATCCATAGTTACTGTTGGACTGGCAGCATACTTGTTTGGCAAAATAAAGAAATTATAAACAGGTACATAAGTAACATAAAGCAGACGTCTTAAAACATACGTTCTGAAAATTCTCTAAATCATAAGCACCTACTCAACAACTGGGTTTAAAAAGAAAATTAAAATAAGTTTAATTTGGATCGGCATTCTCAAAAATAAATATCCCAAAGAGCCTAACCGAACACTTTATGACACATAATGATTTGTAAACAAATGCAGAGCATGTAATTTAGGGTTCCTGTTTTTATTTCAAGTAGATGGTTGATTATTTGAACAAGTTATTTGCAGATATGGACTTTACTGGCATCATGTAAATAATTAAAAACAACAAAATGGCAAATGACAGTAATACATTTTCTAAATGTTGACAAGATCAGTACTGTCCTCTGTTAAATGTACTATACTAGAATGAGAAAACTGTAAATAATGAATTCAAAAAAGTTCAAGACGAAAATAAATAATGTAATGTAATTAAATAATTAAGTGAGCTGTTCTGCAGAAAACAAACAAAAGGATGACATTTCCTGATAACCCTTAGCATTAGTCTAAACAGAAAATATTAAAAAAACTCATTTACAGTTAGGTTCATAACAGAAATACTGTATCAAAATATTACATTTGTAGCTTTGCCTCTGGACGATCTGTATCGTTGATCAAAATAAAAAATGTAACGAATCAACGTAAAAGTACTCTCAACTGTAGTAGCGAATATTTCAAATACCTGTACTGTAATAGTAAAATTTCAGCTCGTCAACTCTTTCAGCGACATGTTTCCCACCCACGACTCAGTTAACTGTAAAAAAACAGAGGCTATTCTTTTGTTTTTAATTTTTATGAACGGAGTTATTTCGTCCGAACCGCAACGAATAAACTCGGGTGGAAACCAGAAAACTCGGCACTTTTCATTAACGTTAGCCTCCAAGCTAACAAGTTAGCCGTGGAGTACAACTACGTGATCCGATTAGCGGTACCGCTGAACACTTTCTGTTCTCTGGCACTTCACACGGTAACTTACCTCCAATATCCCGCAGGCAGAAACACAAAATAAATAACTTGAAAAATAACATTTCGAAATAAAGTTTACTCCCAGTGCGCTCAGGGGATCCAGTGAGACTGCTGAATGGCCGTTTCCTGCCGTTTGCTTTCACTTAAAACTGAAGTCTTCGCCCTTCCTTGTTAGCTGGCTCCCATAACAAACACACCGGCTCTGACTGTCTTCCGCAGCTCGACGCCAGACAGACAGACTGACAGACAGAAAAAAGAGGGAGACAGACAGATTCCCCTCCCTTCCGGTGTGTGCTGGGTTTTTAAAGAAAACAAGCTCTTCTTCTTCTCTTTAAATGTTGGTTGACAAACAAAATAGAAGAGCGTTACCGCCCCCTGCTGATCAAAACGTGCATCAGGACAGACATGTGGCGGAACGACATATGGTACACATGGAACGAAATTATGTACACAGGGTCCCAGTTACATCCAACAATAAAATGTGAAAGAAAAAAACAGTAATTCGATCTAAGATATGAACTAAGAAAAACATTTTTCTCCATTCTCAGTCAGTGAGGTTAATAAACTGTTAAAAGGTCTTGATCCTAAAAAATATGCAGGTCCAGATGAACTTCCACCTTATTTCTTAAGGCTGGCCGCTCATATCATCACAGTCCCTGTGACCCACATCTTTAATCTTTCCATAAGCCAAAACTCCATTCCAGATGCTTGGAAAACAGCCTTTGTTCTTCCTTTGCTGAAGGGAGGTGACCACTATCGGCCAATCTCTAAACTCTGCATTTTAGCCAAGGTTCTAGAAAAACTGATAAACTCTCAAATCAAAGATTACCTGGACTCATTTAACATCTTACCTCCACATCAATCTGGTTTCAGGAAACAACACAGCACAACCACTGCTTCACTGAAGGTCCTTAATGACGTTGTTGAAGGATGCTAAGGATTATTGTGCTGCACTTTTCTTAGACCTGTCTAAAGCTTTTGACACTGTGGATCATAACATCTTGTGTCATAAGCTCTCAGAAATTGGTTTCTCAGAACGCACCATTGGTTGGTTCTCTAACTGTCTCTCAGACCGGAGGCAATGTGTTCAACATAATGGTACTTCCTCCAGTTATTTAACAGTCAACAATGGTGTACCACAAGGCTCAGTCTTAGGACACACCCTCTTTACAATCTACATACGTAATGTAGGTCAAAACATCCCTAATGCATCCATACATTTCTATGCTGTTGACACAGTTGTTTATTGCCAAGCTAAAACAGTTGCTAACGCTCTCCAGCTTTTGAAATCTGCATTTAAGATCATCCAGTCTGATTCGTTCCACCTCAAACTTGTCCTAAATGCCGACAAAACCAATGTTGTCCTTCTACAGGTGTGAAGTGGACAGCATCCTGTGCTGTATATATATATATACCGGAGTCAGTGCGTGCGGCTGGGGAGAGCTGTCTCGGACACTCGGACTGTAAGCACAGGATCTCCACAGGGCTGTGTGCTTTCTCCCCTGCTTTTCTCCCTGTACACCAACTGCTGCACCTCCAGCCATGACTCTGTGAAATTTATTAAGTTTGCAGATGACACCACCCTCATCGGGCTCATCTCGGACGGTGATGAGTCTGCATACAGGAGGGAGGTGGACC